ACTGGCTTCCAGTAACTGCTAGAATCCACTTCAAGACACTGGTACTTGCGTACCATGCTGTGAATGGATCTGGCCCTTCCTACATCCAGGACATGGTTAAACCGTACACCCCAGCACGTGCACTCTGCTCTGCATCAGCCAAACAGCTCGCTGCACCCGCACTGCGAGGGGGACCCAAGTTCCCATCAGCAAAAACACGTGGGTTTGCTATCCTGGCTCCAAAATGGTGGAATGAGCTCCCCATTGACTTCAGGACAGCAGAAAGCTTACACATCTTCCGGGGAAGACTGAAAACTCATCTCTTTCGACTCCACTTCAAGCGATAGAACTATTAACAAAGCACTTATATACTAATAATTAGTATATAAGTGCTTTGTTAATAGTTCTATCGCTTGAAGTGGAGTCGAAAGAGATGAGTTTTCAGTCTTCCCCGGAAGATGTGTAAGCTTTCTGCTNACAAAAAAATACCAACACTCTGTCCTGAAGACAGAAGACAGAACCCAGAGTAACCACTAACCAGGGTGACAGTCTGTAACACAGTCAGGAGACCTTTACAAACTGCCCCGCCCCCTCGCACACAGACGGGAGAGAGAGATCTCTCTTGTCTGGATTGGAAAGATCGAAAATAAGATTGAAAATACATCATAGACGCATTTTGTAGTCTTATTGCATATTAGAAACGGAGTTGGCGAAACTAAAACTGTGATATAATGTTTATTTAGCAATAATTCATACTGTATGACATATATTTTTTAAATGTCTCCAGTACCGATAAAAAGTCAGATAACGTCAGAGCTTAACGGTACCACTGTCTTTAATAATTCCGGCCCGGGGCCCGTTTAATACCGGGGCTCGGTACCCATCCATACCTGGGGAGAGGCGCAGCATATTGCTAAGGACTAAATACGATGGAGGGTTCTCATCTCAGCCTTATTACCCATAGGGGATGAAGTGGAGTAAGTAAATAAAGAGGCCGGCGCTCCAGGGTCTGGTTCTGCTGTGCGTTTTTGGGATGTAACGGTAAAACATTTCAGAATTCCTCCACGGGATACCATTGTCATTTTACATCACTCAACCCGCGAAATACACACACTCAGTACATAGCCTACTGTAGATAGACCCGCGAATTTGCGGGCCAGGAATTCGCGGGCATAGCCGGCTGTGCGGCTGGCTGACAGCCATGGGCACAGCTTACGTATGTGTGTTTGTCTGTCTGTCTGTCTCTGTCTGTCTCTGTCTGTGTGTGTGTGTGTGTGTGTGTGTGTGTGTGTGTGTGTGTGTGTGTGTGTGTGTGTGTGTGTGTGTGTGTGTGTGTGTGTGTGTGAGTGTGTGTGTGTGTTTCGCGGGTTGCTAAATGTTTTGTGTGTTTATGTTGACAAGGAGGTTTAATAACTGTGTGCTACACACAACGTGCAGTCGATTTCATTTTCATCGCCGTTTGTACTAGAGTTTGCAGGGTATTTTTATTTTAACTCTCGTCCCAAATTCGTCCCAAAATTATTTTTTATCCTCCCTGACACTATTTTTTTCGGCCCCGGGACGACGGGACGTCCTTAAGCTCGAGCCCTGCTTTAGCTAATCTAAACTAAGGCCAGAATACTGCTTTGAACCGGTATGATGCATCTTGTGACTGTAACATCCTCTCTTGTATATAACCATGTGAAGGGCACGGTTCAGGAACTAGTTGTCCCACGCCGCCCTGTCTGTGATGACTACTTCCATTCTTGCAAGGATAATAAATACATGTATCCTGATATTGAAGACCAAGCCGGTGACGAGTGATAAAAGAAGAACTATTTGAACAGGATCTCCATGTCATACTGCTCTTCCCTTTGAAGCTGCTGCCCTGGTCGGAGGACGACTGCAGCGGAGAGATAGTGACGGTTTCGCCACACATCAGCGAAAGGTCTCGCAAAGTCAGACCAAAGCCTGTCACGATGTGTCTGCCGCCCTGCTTGGCTTGTCTGGGACTGAGAGCGGCAAAAAGAAAACGCGAGAGGAGCGGATTATGTGAAGTGTTTGTCCTTCACTCTCCCTCTCAGGTACTTTCAAGAGGACAGTGATCCTACAGCATTTATGTCTTCAGACGAGCTCATGTGCTGTGCCCTCTACTCATGCCCTTCCTCTCATTGTAACACCGGAGGATAGTCGGCACATTAGTGCTGCAGGCCTCAGCTGGAAAAACATTTAGTATTTAAACTTACATACAATGGTCCTTTGTTAAGGGTGAAGGTACTAGATCCATGACATTTAAAAAAAATTACTATTAAATGTCAATCCTGTCAATAATGCGTGCTTATTCTATTGAAAGCAATTTTTCATTTGCTTTCAAGCTATCGCACCAAAATGAGGGATTCAGATGACAGCAGGGATTTGAAACATTTGGGGGCAAAGGTATTAAATCTTGCTTTCTTGGCCTGACACTCGGAGAGAGGTGCAATGGCTGAAGTCCGTTAGTCATTTCCACAACCTTCAGACGCCCCCCTTCAATTAAATCTGTAATGATCTTCCTGGAAGCAAATACTGAAACAAACGTAAGCAGCAAAGGGTTTCCTTTCTGTTAGTCACTGCAGAATGTTTCCTTGAAAGATACTCTATAAACAATTTAAATAGAAAGAAGGACTTGTTTCTTTTTAAGGAGGACATCTCATTCTTATTTTCAGGTTCATATTCGTATTTTGTGCTGTTCAAAAAGGTCTTTATTTTTCTCATACTGCCTCTTTTCACCCTCAGTCTGAAACCAGAGACCAGTCTGCTCTGATTGGTTGGCTGGCCAGCTCCGTTGTGATTGGTTAGAGATGTCCCGCGTATCATGGATAATATGATGAAGCGCAAGAAACTCCCTCTGGTGTGAACTTTAAGATTTTAGCCTTTGCAGACCATTTACATGCACCTATATGACACACTGTAGGAAAGGTAAACTCCCAAAAAGCACAATAGGGCCCCTTTAAACTTTGTATATGAATAATTAATTAAGGCTAATTGAAAAAAGAAACACACAACAAACAGTGATTGTTTTAAATGTACAAAGTTGCACAGGTCTTTTTATCAGTACTTGAAAATATTCAACAATGAAAGTTAAATCAAACAGTAAGTAATAACAATAATTAATATCAGCAATAACTAGACTTAAAGTAAGTTTCATTTTTTTTTTTTTTTACTGAAACACCTGAGGGAAGCAAATCAAAAGAGAACCCAGAAAAATAACCACTGAAGTTAAGAAAAACAAACAAAAAACCACATAATGAAATCAAGAAAAAGCTCATACTGGGGTCACTCACTTCATCTGTATGTACAGCACATTCGCTCCACCCTGTGGGGGGGGCAGCAGTGATGAAAGAACAGTGATGGAAACCAGCTGTATGGATTCACATGTAAAGGCAGGGTGAAGCAGAACAAACTACAACAGAAAACAGGAAAACCCATTTGGATCCGGACAGGGAAAGTGTTTTTCTTCCATGATTTTGTGTATTACAGGTACAGAACTGACAGTACTCCATTTGTTACTTTGACTTGAAAGGCTGAGAGGACTGAGAAAGCATTGTCCTGTTCACAAAATAACCCAAGCACACAGTGGAAACTCAACTCAATATCATTTAAAAAAACAATGGTCACTGGATGCATAAGACACGGCCCCTTTCCTGACACCCCCGAACTGTTAAGAAATTCATTCAAGCTTGTTTCAGTAAGAAACATGACATCAACATTAGTTTGGAAGTGGATCCGAGAATCACATTTAATGTCTGTACATTAATCAATATTCATTACAATTCAATGCTCGTTAATTTAACTTCCTGTCGACTCTCACGAAAAACACATTACTGGAAAAAGAGGGAAATAGAAATGCAAAGAAACCTTTGGTCAAAGAGTGTACTCACAAAGGAAAAAATGCAACGACGAGAAAAAAACAGGAAATCATTCATCACTAAAAATTAAGAAAGCAACAAACTAAAAGAGCAAAACTCAAGTGGTTTTCTATACGTTTCTCTCTCTTTCTGACAATATGGCCCGTAGTTCAACCCTCTTCCCATTACATTTGGGTCTGCAAGTTATACTGGTTTCCTCACAGAGGAAAGAAGGAAAGAAAAAGGTGCTCTTTTCATGAAAGTCATGTTTGTCTTGATTGTCCACAAAAAAGAAGGGCCAGCAGGAAGTAACCCCGGCGAAAGGATATACAATCACAGCGTAAAACGACGACATCCTTCACTGGAAAGGAATTGAGAGTCCCGCTCCTGAAAAGACTCTGAACCGGCATTGAAATCTGTGTTTGCCATTTCTGTGTGACTGTGTGTGTGCACATGAACTGTGCACATGTCTCTGTGGTGGTTGGAGTTCAGTCCTATTCGGAGACCGTCTTGTCCTGTGGGGCCGGGTCCTCCAGGCAGCTCCTGCGGATGATGGGCAGCGGGTGGGCTTCTGTGTTGAAGACCCAGTCCTCCAGAGAGAGGAGGTCGTCATCAGAGAACAGCAGGTACAGATACCTGAGCACAGGAAAAACATCATTTACATATAAACAACATGGTTCACTGAGAACTACACACTAGTCTGTGTTGGATATGTGTTACATGTTGTGATCATGGATGATGCCCCTCGTTTCTGTTATGTGCTATATGTGACATGTATGTAGTAACGTGTGTTGTTTGCATTTTATTGTTCTCTTTTATCCTTTCGCCTGTATCTACTTGTCTTTCATCCTTTTTCTATAACTAATGCTGTTGATTTGTGTCTACCATCTGGCCGGGGACAACAGCTGGAAATTAGCAATGTTTGCTAAAGCTGCCCCATAATCCCACATTTACAGTTTGTGACAGTTGATCCATGGGGACTGTCCACGACACTATAAACTAAACTAAACTAATTGTATTGCCATGTCATAAATACTTGTATATTCTGCTCTTGCTCTTTTGCACTTTTCATGTATTTGTATTTTCTATGTTTTTAAATGTTTTATGTGAGGGACTGCGGATGGAAAGTAGCTCAAAGCTAAATCCGGCATATTTACGCTTGGCACATTTATTGTTTTAAGTGTTCATTAATGTTCAATGTCCCTACTAAATAAACGATTAAATAAATAAATAAATAAACTAAACATCTAGGCTCCTTGAGTACAATTCTTCAGATTTCCAAATGAGTGCCAATTCTTCCTTTTAGAGTAAATCAGTCATATCGTATCCGTAGCTTAACCCTATCAGAATCAGAAATCCTTTCTTTGTCCCACAGAGAGGAAATGTACAGTGTTAAAGGGGACAGTGCAGACGAGACAACATAAAAGATGTTGAATAACATAATAAAAAAGAGGAAACAAATGAGGCTGCTGGGAAGCTTGTGAAATTACTTCTGGGGATCTTATTTCATCTTAATACATCACCATTTATTTGCTTTATTTTGTATTATTTATCTCATTCCACAAAGTAATCAAATACACATAGAGACACAAAATAAAAACCCCTGTCCCCAGCTGGTGATAGCTTTGCCAGCTCAATCTAGTCTCGTTAATTATTCACGAGCAAAGATTTTTTTGTCAAGATTAGTTGCTCTAAAGTGGGAGCATTAGGGACGGTGTGAGGCACAGTCTGCTGTTTAAAGTTGTCTGGAGACTGTTGACCAGAATATTCACCCAAATCGTCTACTGGCTAACGTAGCACCCTGAATATTTATGTGTTGCTAAGTGACCCTACAGTCGGCCCTGGTTTATTTTCATTCACAAGGGAAATGGAGAAGATCTCATTCAAAGTGTGATTGGAATCAGTGCACTGATGTCTGACTCGCAGAATGGACGACGCTCCAGCTTTGGATCCTATTATTACTTTCTATATCTTTGATGGTTATACATGTAGATTGTAAAGTGCCATCTGCCACAGGGAGATGTGCTGAGGAAACAGGACTTACTTGAGTGTTTCTGAGAGGAAGAAGCTCTGCTGCATGTTGTCGTGGCTCGCCGTCAGGGTGTAAACGTCACGGATCCCCGAGAAGCCGGACTCCACCCTGCAGTGCTGCTCCAGCGCCTGAGAGGTGAGAGGTCAGGGTTTATGAGGACTCATTTTCAGGTTCATATTTGTATATATGGTGCCTCTACTGTGACATGATATGAAAACCCCAAAAAGCATAATAAGGCTTCTTTAAATTTGAGAATGCATTAGGTCTGCACATTCAATTGATTTGATTGTAATCCCAAAATGGTGCAATATTCAAATTGCAGTAAGCACAATATGTGTTAAAGTGCAGATGTGCAGAGACATTCAAGGTTGCACATTTGATTCTACAGACTTAATACAACATATTTGTTTCACGCAAATTCTCTTTAAAACCAAAATCATTAACATATTTTATATAATTTTAATATGTCAATCATATGGAAATTGCATTATGGATCAAAATAATCTCTAAATTAGTTATTTCTCCCAAATTTTACATCTACAAAAAAAAAGTTTTTTCCTCTCCAAAGTTGAAATTGAAAAACACTACCTCATTCATTTATTCACCCACTTAATCAGTTTTCACCTTTATCTCCCCTGTACTGTGATAGGAAAACATATTCAGTCAAATATATTCCTCTGATATATTTTGAAAAAATAAAAACTCAAATCCTCTACTCGTAAAATAACGTGTGTCTTTGTGCACCTTAAGGAAAAGTAAATGATGGTGAAACATGTCAAAGCCTGAGCGATGCTAAATCTGACAAGAGCTAATGGAGAGTGGCTGAGCTAGCCAAGCGGATTAGCCCATTACCACCTGCTACAAAGGTCTGGCTTATATGTGCTAATTAACAAAGACCCCGACGTGTTAATGCTTGATGTTCACGAACAGACGCATTGTGCACCGCTCGCAACCTTTGTGCCCGATAATTAAAGGACTGTCAGTGTCTTCAGCGTGATCCCGCCACTTCTCTGCACACTAAATTAATGTGGAATCTTTCATGGCAGCCCTCTGCAGTTTACTGAAGCTAATGTCCTGTCGATTGCCACATTAATAATAGTGCTCAACCTTCACCTACTGCTACTGCCGCCACCTGATCCTCACGCTAATGTATAGTGCCACGCAATATCCGGGCGGCTGGCGGAGGGTAATTGAGGGTGTTAAAGGGGCTTGACATGAAAGGTGGGTACATTTTATCAAATCTGACTCCAAGCTACTACTTGGTTTAGGTTGTAACATTATAATGTACTGCATCTCCCACTTAATCTTAACACGCAATTATTATTTGAACCTTATTAGACTTAATATAAGACGATATTTATTTACGGATATTACATTTAAACAAGAATTAGATTCAAGGACTAGAAATCCACACAGCAGGTTTTATCATGCAATGGAGGAAGTAACTGCCTCTGCATTACTTTGATTTAAGGGAGTGTTGGATGAAGGTTTGATAGGCTGGCACGCTTCTTAAAGTTTGTTTATAGTGTATCTTTTATATTTCAGTTTATTTGGGCCAGTTCTGTTCACATTGACCTATTGAAATGTATGTAACTGTCATGTAGAGTGCATCATGGATTGGACGGTTGCAGCAAGTTGTTGCCATTCTTAATATTGTCTTCTGTAGTCTCACAAAACGCAAACCTGTCTAGACTAAAACTGTCCCTGAATAGTATAAATATTGATCAAAAGACAGATACAGGACCCCAAAAAAAAAGTAATTGTTTATAGTAAAGTGGGAGGATAATAACAATGCGATCATTACATTACGGCTAACATTTACAGTTACAAAAGCTTTGATTTAAAATGTTCCGAAAGGACTGTCGCACCGTCATTTGGTTGGTTATGATGGGGCCATTTACATCATGCTCCACTGAAAGACTGAATAACATTAAAAAGGTTTACCGAGGTTCTGACGATCATATCCTCTGACTAAAAGTATCTCAGCTTTGCCAACAGGGCTAGTTTCAACAAAAACAGCGTTATTTAACGTAGCCTGTGTTGGGGTGTCTCACCTGAACAGCCTCCCAGCCCCACTCTCTGTACTTGGGGTCGTGGGTCAGCCTCCACATGTACATGTAGCTCTCGATGACCTCTGGGCGGAGGATGTAGTATCTGTCGTTCAGTCTGGTGGCCGTGGCTTCTCCTCCGCTGTCAAATCGGAACGCCTCCGGGCCCAGTTTGGTGGCTGATGGAGACAAAAAAGAAAAAAAACATTTATATTTCTGCAGTCAGCACCTCTACCGGATCTGCAATCAATCCCATATCAAAAAAATCGAAGCACACTGGAGTATTTCTGTCTTTTCTGCCTTTCAATGACCATCACCACAGTCCACAGAGCCCTTTTTATAATTGTTGGTTTCCATGTGTCAGGTTAGACAATTAAGATGTGTCCAGATGGTCTGTTGGCTTCTTTTTCTCTCTTCCTCCTTCTTTCATTATATCTCCAACACAATTCAGGACTGCATGGCAAACAGACTCTATTCATGATCCAGCACAAAGGAATAAATTCCTGCCAAGGTCGGGACAGGAGCATCGGCATGGCAACATCTCAGAAAAACACTTGAAGAGAAAGATGTTATATGACAGGCAAGATGAGTCTGATATGTAATTTTTTACTTTGAATATATGTTATAAATATTTAGCGTTATATGTAAATGTGATCATGTTTTAGAAAGAAATTGTTTTACGCTTTCCAGATCTGATCCTGTTTTCATTTGCATAAAAACATTTCCTGTGTCAAGCACATGCTATGTATTATTTAAATCTTAAAAATGTGTCTGAAAATGCAGAATATCTAATATACAATTTTCAAATTTATGCACAATACTCTCTTTCAAATGCACGGCCCCTTCACTTGAAACTCAGATATACTACACACATTTCTTTACAGTAATTTGTCATATTCTCATTGATTTTCCTTTCCTTTATAGTATTTCTACATTTACTCTTGTTAAACAACTTCAATTATCTTGCTGTGTTAACTGTGTTTGTTTACATTAAAGGTGGGGTAGGTAAGTTTGAGAAACCGGCTCGAGATACACTTTTTGTTATATTCCATGGAATGTTCTTAACCTCCCGATAGCAATGAATATCTTAAGTGCTTTGACAAAAAATCCATAACCATATCTGTGGAAGCCGTGGTACTGTAAAAAGCACGACCAATCATCTGAGCCGGCCCGGCTAAAATAACTGGATGGCCTACCTGCCTGTCAGCCTTCCATCTGTGCACAAACTCATCGCGTGCCCTCATTGGTCATGTGCGCGTTCGTGTGTGTTGGAGGAGGGGCTCTGTAAGGAAGTGGCAGATTTCTTCCGTCTGTGTATTTTCAAATTCTAGCGCACTCAAGCTGGTTTCTCCAAAACCACCTTTAAGGAAATTCCTTGTATGTGTGAAACGTCTCGGCAGTAAATATGTGAGTAACTATGTGTAATGTCATAGTAGTAGAGATAAAAAACTCAACATGGTACCTTTAACTTTTGTCTTGAAAAACCAACATCAAACTCACACTTCCCCCCCGTCCCTCCACAGCTCCTCTGTTCTCACATCCTTCTGATTCTTCACCTCTGGGTGCTTCCTGCCTCCTGACGGCCTGTTTTCCGCCTGTTTTTCACTAAACAATTCTCTGTGCTGTTGATGCTTGTGATTGGAATGCTAACGCTAATTCAGCAGAGGATCATCTGTAACTCCGGCGCAGACTACACAATCGATTTTTCCACACGTTCTAAAGATGATTAGCACGCCTCTGTCAAACTCAATTTAGAAGTCTTGTCTCAGGATTCGTTACTCCCGCTTTGGGACCTGAATAGAAAACACGTTCCCAACTATCTTCTTATCCACCGGTTTCCTTTTGCCTCAACACACTGCAGTAAATCCCTCCAGGCAAAAAAATCAAGTCTTATTGTTTCCTGTGAATTCCCTGCTGAGCATTAATGAGTTCAGATCAGAAAGGTATTTCATTCCTATATTTAAACAGTGGTGGAAATCAGAAGTGACAGCCCTGAGTGATAAAGTTAACCTGTTAAACCCCGAGCCTGTTTTTCAGGTTTCAGGCTCGAAAATGATATTCTCAGAACAAATGACCATATCTTCCCTTCTAAAAGGGTTAAATTAATAATCTTTTTTCTCAAAGTAATGATAAACCTTTGAGTTGGATGTAGAAAAGTCAGAATCAATATAGATGTTTTTTATTTTAAAGAAAATTCAGATTGAACATAGTAAAAAACTGTAAATTATAGTGTCCGTCCAAAAAATATTTTGTACTTATAGTGAAAACTAACCTTGGATGATGGGTTAGTAGACTAAAAGCTTTAGGAATCCAAAGTAAAACAGATAATAAGTACCCTGTATCAAGATTGATGCAAAACAAGTGATATTTGACCTTTTTAGACAGATTTAGCAAAACAAAACCTCTTCTGGGGCCATTTGGGTGGATTTTTCATATCTCTGGCCCCCCTTGATTGATTTTGACATGTGACATCTCTTTCTAACCGTCAGAGCCAATGGAATCGAGGGGAACTCCCACATAGTCCTTATTTGGTAATGTGTGTGTGTTAGACTGCCGCATAGCCAAGACCGGAAGCAGCAGCCAACTCTGGTGGCTACCATTAGCAGCTAACTTTTCCTCTCCGATCTTTACATAAAAATTGAATTATGGATTATAAATGAAAACAATTATTACCCAGAAACATTATCAACCTATGAATTAACCGATTCAGCCACGTTTTTTCTCATTTTAATGCCATTGAACACGTCTTTTGATCAGATTGACAGCTACGGTGAGACGATCTCCCTAAAAGCTCCGTAAAGGCACGTGTTGTGATGTCTGTGTTTGCTTCCCCTGTCGCGAGTTCGGATCACTCAGTGATGATATATATACCTAAATAATCTGTGGAACCTCAGCTTTAATCAGATATCTTGTATGTGCAGCTACGATAAGTAATAAGGGTACTTTTATCTTGAGTTCTCTGCCAAAGTCCGTTAGCATTTTTCGCTCAGGGGTCATCTAGATGCTTCTTATGAGACTTGTGTTGTTTTGGTAAAAATTGATTGTATCGTCAGTTAGCTGAGATTATTTCCATTATTAACACATTAATAGGTTCTTAAATATTAAGATCCCCTGAGACAGTGTCATGAAAAAAAAAAGTAAAGTACTCGCCGGCGGGGACCTTGGGGTTTAACAGGTTCTCTCTATCAGCTCACACATCTCAATAGCAGAAAGCTAACCATTAAAAGTCTATAACCACTTTTTCCCCTCTTAAACCAATAACCTTTTCATCTTCCTTCTGCTTCCCATGAGATTTCCATTTTCCAGCATCAGTGTGTTGCTGTGAAGCTGGCGGGGTTTCAGAGCAGCAGCAGAAGGAGAGTCTTTATGGTATCTATGTTTAAGACACAGCCAAAGAGCAGCCATCTTACACACGTGCAATCGCAAATCTCACTCCTCTCTTTCTCTCTTTTCCTGCAGACGGATAATCCGAGAGCTGCTAAGCACCAATCGGCCCTTTTTAAATGAGCACAGAGAAACCTGGTGGAGGAGAGAGCCAGAGAAGTCTCGTGGGTCTGCAGATGAAAAGCATTTCAAGCGTATCAAGGAACCTGTTATGTGGTGAGTCACATGATCTCACTGACAAAGCCTTACAGCCCACCCAACAGAGGAGGGGGTAAAAAAGAAGCTTGAAATTAGCAGAGGAGATTATTGTCAGAGCTGAGATAGATGAGGGAGGAGAAGAGATCAAATAATGGCTGTTCCAACGGAATGCTTGTTGCTGGAAACTCTTCCTCGATTGCATTTTCCTTTTGGGTAAATCGTCTTTTCTCCCACAATCTGCGGAGAGCATTTTTCCGCGATCCCAATTTAGCAGTCCGAAAAACGTTTACCCATTTAAACAGTCGTGGTAGACACCTTGTTTGTTTTAAACATCATAAATACACAAACAACAATGAATACTTACAGGTTCTGTACCCAAGTTTTCTATTTTTATTCCATATTTTATTCCATTTCATTTCTATGTAAATATTGTTATATTTTACTGTATTTTTTTTAATATTTTTCTAGTTCTCTATCTGTGTTTTTAATTTTTGTTTTACTTTTATGTATGCAGCACGACACCGAGTCAAATTCCTCGTACCTACCTGGTAATAAACCTGTTTCTGATTATATATCGCAGCAACAGTAGATACCTGTGGACTGTATGTTTACTCGTCCATACTTTATCTACATGTTCTCACCTTGTCTCTTTTTATTCTTTCTCAGAATGTGATTATCAGTGTGTAACACACTTAGAGACAGCTCCATGTTTGCTGCCTGCAGCTGTGAGGCGTTGGCGAATAATCGAGGACTTTAATTCTCCGCTGCTCCTTATTACGGCCTGTCGTCGCTCTGTCGAGGTGAAGCCACCGAGAACGGTTCTCATTTTGAGTCAGGGCAAAATTAAAACGCCCGCGGCCTATTTAATTTAACATGTGGCGCGACAACACTTTTCCTTTCACTGTAAAGCAACCTAACCTCTCCTAACAAGACAGATATAGTGATGAAGCATAACCTTTTTAATTAGAATAGTCTGGATGTCTAAAACACGAAATGAGCTGGATCCAACGAGTAAGAACACCAAATAAATACTTATATGTTTTAATTTCAGATGATGGGAAGCATGGCTATAACTTAAAACTGACATGTTTTCATGTACCTAAGAAACATTTCACTGCTCATTCAGATCCTCTTTAGTCAGAAGATGTTTTTTCCATAACGCTTCAGGCTGGAATATTTCCAAATGTTATTCAATAACAAAATGATCTTTCTCCCTCTCACTCTGCCAGTCATTTCTGTTGATGCATTTAATGTTCTGCAGAGATATTCCAACCAGTAAGGCAGGAAATTAAATATTTTAACGAAGCTATGGTTTCACATGCTGTTAGCTGACTGCCATTTTAATAAAGCGGTGGGGCTTAATGGCTCGCAACCCATTTATATGTTTTTTGCTGGTGGGCTGTCTTCTAAGTTTGTCTAAGAAGAGACCAAACAGTGAGCATAACTGTGTTTCCAAAACACGTTATTAAGTTTGGTTGTGCACAAATAGGAGCTGGATTCAGGACTCTATCTATAGTGCAATTACAAATACATAAAAAGTAAAATAAGAACTTTACATAAAGCACTTTGAACTGCTTTTTGTTGAAATGTTCTATAACACCCCTTGTTGTTAAATACCAACCAACTATGTGCCGTTAATAACTGTGCAATATATACTTAATAATATAAATATATAATATAAATCCTAAGAACTGTTACAAGACGTGTATTTTGTAAATTATGTAACTTTAAAAAAAAATTTAATTATTATTTTTGTATCTTTAATATTTTTTTATGCATGCTTCTTAGGTAACATTACGCTGTCTTTGGCTCTTTCCTGCTGTAACAATGTATATTTCCCCTCTAACTAATGAAGGTATTCTGATATAAATAAACTTGCCTTGCAGGACAACAAACAATGGGCCACTCTCTGCTCCTCGTGCAAAATACATTGGCTAGATGGAATGTGTAAGCGCCATATGATATATATATATATATATTCAATCCAAAACAAAATGGGCAGGAGCAGTTCAGTCTTGCCCTCCTCCTGGGTGGTGTTGAACTTTCTAAACCAAACTGTCCTCTCACCTGAGCGGGTGTAGCTCTCGTGGCAGGTGTGTGTGATCTCAGCAGCCAGGTCCAGGTAGTGCTGCCTCTTCTCCGGCTCTCCATCGTCCGCCCCGATGCCGATCATGCCCCCGGAGAAGCAGGCCAGGTGGCCCATCTTGTGGTCCAGGATCCCCCCCCTCCACTCCGCCATGTAGGTCAGACCGCCGGGGGACTTCTGCACCAGGTTAGCTTCAATCGCCTGCAGGAACACACGGTCAGGAGGGTTTAATAGATAGATAGATGGATAGAGAGATAGAGAGATAAATGGATAGATGGATAGAGATAGAGAGATAGATGGATAGATAGATTGATAGATAGATGGATGGATAGATAGATGGATGGATGGATAGATAGGTACTTTATTGATCCCAATTTGGGCAATGTTTGCGTTGCAGCAGCATAAAAAAGCAATGTACATAAGAGAAATTAAGACAAGAAATAAACAGTCCAAAATACTTCTGAAATAAAATAGTATTAAAAGTAAAACAAATATATATATATATACGTGGATGTGGAAAATATACATGTGGAAATACAACTTTCCAGTAACAAATACAATGCAGGATATTATTATGCAAGAAATTGATTATTCAATATTAAATAGAATATAAATGTACAGTGGGAGTTTAAGTCCAGTTATTTAGAGAAGCTATGGAGCAGAGAGTTCTCTTCCAGCCAGGCGATGAGTAAACAGGCATTATCTGAGGTTACAGTATGTGGGCTTTACACTTTATGTGAAATAAATCTTTGTTTGCAATACTTGTACTGACAAAACCGAAGCCACCTAGCCTTAACTGTGCTACATTAAGCCAGTTAATAAGCACACTACTTAATATTGACAGCACAGAATTGGAGCTTTTACTCCCAAACACCCAAGTGGGAATACATAGAATGATATCAGTGTTTCCTATAAAAAGCCTGTATATATGAACAATCCTCCTACACACACATGAGGGATGAGTCTAACATGTCTGCATTTAAATGTTAAATGATGTGTGTGTTGTAAGATAGGAAGGCGTATCTCTGAGGGATTTCATCTGATACCTTTTGAAGACAGATCCTTTTATACACGATCAAAAAACACGAGACGAAGCAAAGAGAAAAAAAGGGAGATGTCCGAGTCAAAGAAAGACATCTCTGTCTTTTATAAGAAATCTTAAAGTCAGGTTTTGTTCCTTTCTGCCTCTTTAAAGCTGTGTATACTTTAAATGCTTGATGTTTTTTAAGACACCGTTAGAAAGACAGATCATATCTCATCATTCCCTCTTATTTACATTTCTCTCTCTTCATCTCTCGTGTTAATTCTGCCTGGCTCGATGCTCATCATGCATTTGAATGCCGGTTTGTACGAGTGCTGTTAATTAAAAGTGTAAATCCTCTCTTGAATCTCAGGTTCAACCATTCATTATTTTTTAACAGCTCTTTCATGATGAGCTTACAAAGGAAAGAGGAGGAAATGAAGAAACCCTCTTCTTGATTCATATGCAAAGCACATTTGGTTTGTGGAGTGGGATATTTTAATTTCAAATTACCCAGTGAATGTAACTTAACATCCCTTTAACCACTGCTGTGATACTGTACAGGAAAACCTTTCATTCTCAACGAGGGTTAATAAAGATGAAACCTGCTAATGACAAAATCAACTAATGTGTATAATATGAAAGCTGATAAATGCCATGTTTCTTTAAAAAAAAAAAAAATGTTTTTCTTGAGGGCTGAGACTGATGAATCCCCCTCTAATGAGCTGCTGTTAGCTGTAATCATGGCATAGTATAATTGGAAATTGTTCCCTCATTCAACAGTGTTTTAATTAGTCTACTTTTAGTTGAATGCCAAAGATAATGAGTTGCGCTGAGCCTTCACCTTAGATCTCTGTATGAACGCACAGTATATGACTTCATCTGATAGAGTGGGGGTCCGTGGCCATTTAAATACCAAGTCACAAGGGAGAGAGGGTGTCTGTAATTAGTGCTTCTGCCTCTGGCTTGACCCTCGGATGAGAACTGAGGAAATATCAATGGCAATATGAAGTCATTGTCTCTGATACCGTAATTGTAGCCGAAGGGAATGTGCTTTACTCTGACATTATCTCTATTAAGCTAAAAAAAAAAAATGGTATGTGTAAAGCCAGCTGTGAGTTTTTTTTTCTTTTCTGCATTTAGTGGGTGGGAGTGCTCCTTTCGCTACAAAATAAACATGAGTCAGTGTCTGTCTAATCACATTAAGCAGTACCAGGAAGCCTTATGTCCGTTCCACTGAGAGCATCGCTGTCACAAAAATACTCCTGCTGTGTATAATCACGCTATAGTGCTCGGAATAAAAGCATCCATTACAGCTCTACCTCCGCTTCTGATCCACTGAATGCATATAGGAGAGAGACATGTCTACACTTCTATGGATAAAAGCTGTGTTTTTGAGTGACAAGACGATACTTTTCATTTCACTATCACGCCATTATCTTAAGTGAAGTATAGTCACTTTCTGGCATGCGGCGTGTTATGTTATCCTGATGGCAATAAGGCGGATTTTTAAATACGCGTATATTCCGATTTTAATTAAAGGTCCCATGTCATGCTTTTTCTGGTTATTACCCGTCCCCTTGTGTGTTGTGTAGCTTGTTCTGCATGTAAACGGTCTGCAGTCACAAACCCTCAAAGTACACCCTGTAGGGAGTAAAACTCTAACACAGAACAGACCTGTCTATGCTGCCACAGAACACCTCGTTGGAGATTTCTCTTTTTCCATTGTTTACTTCTTGACGTATTTCGGGTTTAGTGACGTTACGTCCGCGGACTTCCTCACACACACACACTCAGCGGGACGTTGGTGTGGGGTCGGCGAGACACCGCAGAACTCAGCCTGGGCACACGCACAAACTCCCAGCCAGGCTGCGGGTGTGTGTGCCCAGGCTGAGTTCTGCGGTGTCTCGCTGTCTCGCAGACGGCCACTGGGCTCACAGGGAGGGGGGGGGAGGGGGGGTGTAAGAGCTCCAACAAGCCGTTTAGGACAGAGAGTGAATACACATACTTTACAGAGATGCTGTAAGAGAAACCAATGTGAGTTTGGAAAATTGCACGATATACATTTATTCTAGTATACCTCAACAATGGAATTATGATCAGTAGAAATGGCCATGACATGGGCCCTTTAAAAGTCATCACATAAATGGTTGGAAATTGTTGTAAAACTGGCAACAATGAAATGTATTTTATCAGATTAATATTAATATCACAGCAACTTCGTAATACATATGCACAAAGAGGGATTAAATGTATGACTTTCTTCACCCTCAATATGGGGCGAAGAACAACAAGATGACAGGCACTGGCTCTCTATGATTTCAACATTCATTTATGCGATTCTGTGGATGAATAAACATGCAGCAGAACACTTTACATAAAGCAGGTGAGCAAACAGGAATAAAAAAAAACAAGCTTAACGTCTTGTCACTCTCCGTTTAACAGATCTTAAAAAATAGGCGGCAGAAATGACTCTTTATTAATGTCGAATTATGAACTTGATGAGACATTTTATTACGGTATTCAATGCAACACTCATTGATTAAGTATCCGGCTATGATCATTAATAAAGGCTTCAACTTGCAAAAAATACTTAATCATCTTTAAAACAGCAAGAAGAAATGGAAGAACACTCTTCTACCTTCTTATTATTCATTTTTGAGAAAAAATATGAGCTGAATATCAAACGAGCATCGTGTCTCTTTCCATAAATGTCATATATTACATGAAAAAAGTTTAGCCTTCAACTATCCTTTAAAACTTTAAGCGGTGTACCTCTCGTTCCTCTTAGGTGTAAATCACTTTCCACTCTGTTTGATCGCAGGCATATGCAAATTACTGTAACTTTTATGGTTTCAGCTAAAGGAGCCATGCCTGAGCGTGAAATGGAAGATTAAAATGTCCGTACCTCCAGCGCGCCGTAGTACATCTTCTTTGCGTCTTCGTCCGACTTGTCTGACATCAGATATGATTTGATCAGATACTCGTAGAAACTGTCCCCGAGGCCCCCGATGGAGACGTGATCTGAGGAGAGGAAGAGGAGGGAGACAGCAGGGTCACAATCAGCTCTATCTGAAGGACAAACAAAGACGCGTTGAAAGGTTTGCTCAAAAGAACAACGAGTGTTTTTGTTTGCAATTTTCTGGCGGTTGGAAGATTTTGTACACTTTTAAACTAAAAAGATTGATTCCTGTGACAGTGGATAGTGTTGGACCTGTAGCAAACAAAGTCACTACTGCTAACTACAAAGTCCTCTACGCGTATTGGGGTTACAGATGGGGTCCAAAACTAGCAAGCCATATGAATGTCTGGGAGCAAATACATTTGATATGCTACACAAATATGACCAGGATCCATTGAATTGTCTGAATATTGGGTTGCAGATTAGCATTTTCAAAAGGGGGGTTCGTTTAGCATGAAACACTTGAAATAACTAAAGGATGAGTTCAAAAAGAAAGTAGAAAGAAAGTGAGGTCAAAGAAAACTATTTCTGCTAAAACGTTAGCAATGACTGAGACCCCGTCCACACGGAGACGAAGCGGGTTGTATCCGCTACAGTTCTCTAACGTATTGACGGTTCGTCCACACGAGGCCGACACGGAAACGCGGATAACGATAACGGCTCCCAAGGTGGGTAGATGCTGTGTTTCGCCAACAACAACAACAACAATGGCGGATCACAGGGTTGCTTTCGTGCTCCAGACGCTACTGACCATGCTACAGATGTTAGTGCAACATCTACAGCTCCTCGACCACAACCATCAGTAACAAGTGGACATGGAGAACTACATGAACTACATGTTGCTAAATCCACCACGGAGAATAAACAGAAGGGCAACCATGCTCTGGGGGGGGTCTTCTTCGCTGCTTTTGGTGTATTTTGTGGCGGAAGCATTACATTACATTTAGCTGACGCTTTTATCCAAAGCGACTTACAATAAGTGCATTCGACCAGGAAGATACAACCTTGAAGAAAACAGAATCATATAAGTACATCAGGTTTCATAGAGCCAAACATTTCAAGTGCTACTCAACTGGCTTTAGATAAGCCGGCACACA